CATAGTAATACTGCAAATTCAACAAAAGAGAGATTAATTACATGAGACTGAACTAGTGAAATAGAATTTTTGACTTTAGATTAAAACATTACTGATTTTCTTCGATGCTTTTATTTCCATCTTTAAGGATTTTTGTCTGCTCTTGAACTGTTGATAGGTTTATCTACCTACTAGTTGAACTGAATCGCAACCCTTTCCCTGGCTTTAAGTTTTAAGTAATTTCTCTTAACAATTTTTGATTTTGTTCAATTAAAACTAAAACTGCTTTTTCTTTTTTAATTAAAAAATACATTAAAAATGCCTACTAATACTATTTAATGACTTCAGTAAGCTATATAGCCCCAGCTAGGTGCTACTTTATAACATGTTCACTTTACTCACTGGGGTTTATACTTTAAGTCAGACATATGTTCATGGATATGTATATATTAGCTGAGCTTGCTATTGAAAGTTTTCAAATTATTTTAGATCTTTAGTGAATTAATCAGATGTTTTAAAAAGGCATAGAAAACAACTGTAGATATCAGAGACAGAAATACAAAATTATTTGTTGATGATAACAGGTATGGTAATATCCTTGATTGGGCCAATATACAATGTATTCTGAATGGAAAAAATCTCATTTTGTATACTGTATTGATGATGTATAGTGAATGACTGTAAATAAATAAATTTTTTAAAAAGGCATAGTATTTGCATGTAAGCTATATACATCCTCCCATATACTTTGTCATCCCTAGGTTACTTACTATACCTAATACAATGCAAATGCTGTATAAATAGTTGTTACAGTGCATTGTTTAGGGAGTAACAATAAAAAATGTCTGTCAAATTCAGTACAACCACTGAAGGCCTTATTACATAGTACGTATCAGCAAAAATGTAACTTTTTCAATGAGTGGTTGGTTGAATTCACAGATCCATGGATATAGAGAGCCATGTATAGCTGATGAGAGCTTTTCTTTATGGGAAAATTTGCGCTAATAAAACAGAAGGAACCTCTAATTAAAAAATGGATCTACTCAATAATGATCACTAGCAGCTAAAACCCTGAAGTAAAAAGTTAAAACAGTTTGACTGACTACGTGAATCTACTCATCAATCTCAATACATCCAAAAGTGGGACAAACCTATGTACTACAATTAGATGTATATGACACCAACTATAAAGTATTCTTGACAAAGAACTGTACCTGAATCTAATAAAGGTAGATTATAGGGAAAACAGGATGAAGGAGTATATTATACAACACCATAAGAAGGTAAACTGCCATTTTCAGAATAAGACATACTCGAGGGCAGGAGTTGACAAACTATAACTGTAGCCTATTTTTAGATAGCCTGTGGACTAAAAATGGTTTTAATATTTTTAAAGGTCTTAAAAGAAAGTGAGTAGGAGAGTAAAAAGAGAAAGAATATGCAACAGAGACATGTGGTCCATGAAGCTTAGACATGGTTTGGTCTTTCAAACAGAAAAACTGCTGACATTTGTTCTAAGGGACAAATAACCTGGTTTCTCTGCTAATGAAAGGGTGAGAGAAGATGGGTTGAGGGGTAGAAGAAAAGGAACTCTTGTGGATGAAAATAAACCTCTAGGAGATATATTAACAGTAACCAAATACAATATGTAGAACTTATTTGGATTCATATCACACAAACCATAAAAGAATGTATTTTATAGACTGATTTGATTGCCACTGGGCACATGTACTCAGCAGAAAGAGAAAAAGTGCCCTTCAGTGGGGTATGGTCACATTGCTCTCCTCCATTTCTCCATCTAGTCAGGATTTGGGGCATACATGCATGCACACACACCCAGCATGTATTTTTTTCTTTTTTTCTTTTTAAAAAGTTTTTGCCATAGGGCATGTGCTCTTGCCAGAGAGAGAGACAGAGAGGCAGTGAGAAGGAAACTGAGAAATCATTACCCAGGGAAGATGGCTGCACTACAACCCCTTCTCCTCTATTCTCCTCCTGGGATTATGGGCATGCACACACACACACCTGGCATGATTTTCAAGTTGCCAGATTGGGGACTCGAACTACAATGGGCCATGTGGGAGTCCAGTACCTTAACCACTACACCACCTGATGGCACCTCCATTATATTTTTTAAGCTGCTGGGACTGAGATTTAAACTGTAGACAGTCATGTGAGCTGCAGCTTTCTAGGCACGACTCTTAACCTCTATGCCACAGGGTTGACCAATTTATTTTTTTAAAGAATTATTTGATCTTCCTTTCTTTTGATCCAATATTTTATTTATTTTTTTAAAGAATTTTCTTTCCTTCTTTCGCAGAGTTCTTTTTCTCTCTCTCTGTCTTCCTTTCACTTTCATAAATTTGACCAGAGAGGGGCAGAGCAAAAGAGAGAGAGAGGGGACAGACAAAGAGAGAGAGAGAAGAAAAGTGAGAAAGCAAGCCACCAAGTCTGGGACTCGAACTGTGGTCGGCCACATGGGAGTCCAGTGCTCTTAACTACCATGCCACCTCCTGGCCCAGGCCCAATATTTTAAAACAACAAAAATAGTAAGAAACTCTTCAGGACAGCAGGTGGCATTGTGATTAAGGTGCTAGATCTCACCAGGCTGACTGTGCAACTGGAGTCCTGGACCTAATTGCTTGAAAAATACACTGGGTGCATGTGCATGTGTGCTCAAAAAACTAAGTGGAGAGTGGAGAAGGAATTGTAGTGTGGCCAAGTCACCCAGGGTGTGATTTTTTACTTTCTCTCCTTTCTCACTTTCTCTATCTCTTGTGAGTACATGCACCCTATAACAGAAAACTTAAAAAATAAAAAAGATGAGCGAGCAGGTGGCATGGTGGCTAAAGTGCTGGACTCCTATGTGTTCTACCATGGTTCAAATCTCAAACCTGGCAGCTTCAAACTTGCACTAAGCATGTGTGTGTGCATGCCTAAAATCCCAAGAGGAAAGGAGGAGGAGGGATTGTGGTATGGCCATCCCCTGAAAGGTGATTTCTTACTTTCTCTCTGTCTGTCTCTTCAGCAAGTGCAGGTGTGCTATAGCAAAAATCTCTCTCTCTAAAAGCTACTGATTTTTGTTAATTTGATATCCTATCCCTCCCTGGGATCTCTCACTGTTTGTTTCATTTTTTAAAATTGGGGAACCAGCAGTTAGCGTAATGGCTATGTCGCTGGACTCCCACGTAGTCGACCGCGGTTCACGTCCCGGACCTAGTGGCTTAAAACTCACGCCAGGCGCGTGTGCATGCGTGCCCAAGATCCCAAGAGGAGAATGGAGGAGAAGGGATTGCGGCATGACCATCTCCCATGGGGGGGTGATTTCTCGCTTTCTGTCTCTCTGTCTCTGTCTGTCTGGCGAGCGCACACGCCCTATAGCAAAAACCTCTCAAAAAAATTTTTTTTAAATTGGTTATGTGTTTTCCTAGGATACAATCCCATCATCTATAAATAAAAATGTTTTCGTACCTTTCTTTATTATTCTTATAGTACTGATTTTTTTCTCCTGTCTAATACTTAGGTATAAACAGTAAGAAATGTACAAAAGCCAGAGGGAAAACACGGAAAACTCCATTTTTTAAGGACACAAAAGTAAACAGATCCAAAGACAGATCATGTCCTTGGACGGAAAATGTTGGCATTAAAAAGATGTCAAATCAGGGCCAGCAGGTGGCGTGGTGGTTGAGGCACTGGACTCCCACATGGCTGAATGTAGTTTGAGTCTTGGACCTGGACCTGGTTTGCTTTCTCACTTTACCTCTCTCTATGGAATTAAATAAATAAATAGTTCTTTTAAAAAAAGAAAGATGTCAAACCTCTGAAAGCTACTTTATGTATCTAGGGGCTAGTAGGTGGTGTGGTAGTTGAGGCACTGGAATTCCCCCATGGCCGACTGCAGTTCTAGTCGTGGACCTGGTGGCTTGTTTTCTCACTCCCACCCCCCACTCTGGCAAACTCATGTAAAAAATGCTAATAAATAATAAATAAATAATTATTTTAAAAATTACATATCTAGCAGGGTTTTCTCTGGAAATAGACTTTATAATTTATATGGTAAAATTAACAATCTAGGATAGCCAGAATAAATGAAAAAAGTGTATGCATCTAAGGAAAGGAAAGGAAAGAACTGAGTTTCAGGAAGAAGAGGAAGACTCACTTTTCAAGGCATCTTTTAGACAATTTATATATTTTTTCAAGAAAGTAGGCATATATTGTATTTTAAAAAAATTAAAAAGAGACCAGCAGTTGGCATAATGGCTATGTAGCATGACTCCTATGTAGTCAGTCACGGTTCAAGTCCTGGACCTGGTGGCTTAAACTCAGCTGGGCATATGTGCGTGAGTGCCCAAGATCTCAAGAGGAGAATGGCTATCCCCCCTGGGAGGGGGGTGATTTCTTGCTTTCTGTCTTTCTGGCATGTGCCCTATAGCAAAAACCTTTCAAAAAAAATATTGAAGAGACAGAAGGTAGGAATAAAGAGGAAGATACCATGGGATCTCTAAGCCATTACATGTGTAGGTAATGGGATTGTGATATTGTGAAGTACAATGGAAAGTGTGACCATTTTTGCAAAACACAAACCTGTGGCTTTTCAAAATGGAAAGACAAAAGAAATGAAAAGGAACCTAAATGTGAAACGAACATGTTTTTAAAACACTACATTCATGAAATACTGAACACATAAGACAATAAAATCATGAACATAAAGGAAAGAGATAGTCCAAAGATTGCAGAGAGGAACAGTATTCCCCAAAATAGGGCTATAAATGAATTAGGAATGGTTGCTATCTTGAAATAAGATGAGGCTACTGGCTCTCTAAAACTTGAAAAGGAAAATAGCTCCAATATAGAAAAAATAATAGTTGGAAATATCTCAGTAATCTAAAGCATTCATACCATTTGTTAATCTCAAAGACTAGGGTCCTTAAAAATAATCTTGGAAAATGTAAAATGGTATTAGTCCCTCACTGAACAATTATCATGTGGTTTTATTATTCAGTTACTTTTCACTTATTCACCTTGACAATGCCTCCCAAACATTTCTTCCTCCATCACCCATGGCTCTTCCTCTTGCTCCAACTTGAAGATCACATCTGGTTTGGTGACTTGACAACCTATTATGAGAAATAACAAAGGATTCAGATGTTTTATTTTTAAGAGAGATTTTTGCTATAGGGTGTGTATACTTGCTGGAGAGTCAGACAGAGACAGAGAGACAGAAAGTAAGAATTCATCCCCCCCAACTCCCCAAGGGGATGAACACGCCACAATTCCTTCTCCATTCTCTTCTCAGGCTTTCATGCACACATGCGTGGCGTGAGTTTTAAGTTGCCAGGTCCAGGACTGGAACCACAATCAACTACGTGGGAGTTCCGCTACATAACCATTTTTACTATTTGCTGGTCCTAAGGACTTAGATGTTAATACTGTAAACAACTATCCAGATATTGCCCTGTGTCTAAGCTGAAAACTTATGAAGGATGAGAATGAAGAAACTTCCACAACGACACAAAGTAATTAGCCTTTACCCGAATGACTGAGGCTTATACAATCACATGAAAAAAGAAAAGCCTAGACTCATCTGGCAAATTTAAGTCTTCACATTTTTCAAAAATTGAAAAAAAAAATTCTATTAAATTGAAAACCTACCCTTACCTACTGTAACTAGGTTGCTATAGTTCTCCAGCATCACATCCCGGTACAAGTTCCTCTGAGCAGGTTTCATTTGCTGCCATTCTTCCTGGGTGAGATCCACAGCCACATCCTTAAATGTCACTGTTTTCTGTAAAATCACAACCTTAACTAATTAGAATATATCAGAATTAGGAACTGTGGTCAAAACACTTAACTCACTTAGCTGGGGTTGGCAGTTCACATGGTAGTTAAGAAGCTGGACTCTCATATGGCAGACCACGGTTCAAGTCCTGGACCTGAAGGCTTTCTTTCTCAAATTCCCTCTCTCTCTACCTCTGGTCAAATTAAAACATAATAATAATAGGGGCTGGGAGGTGATGTGGTGCTTAAGGCACTGGACTCCCACATGGCCAACCATGGTATGAGTACTAGACGTGGTAGTTTGTTTTCTAACTTTCCCTTTCTCTTTCTCTCTGTCTCTCTCTGGTCAAATTAAAATAATAATAATAATAATAATAGGGCTGGTGGGTGGCATGGTGGTTAAGGCACTAGACTCCTACTCACTGCGGTTCGAGTCCTGGACCTGGAGGCTTGTTTTCTTTCTCTATCTGTCTCTCTGTCTTTCTCCCTGGTCAAACTGAAGAATAATAAATAAAATAAATAATTATTTTTTAAAATTTAATAAATAAAATAGAATCATTTAAAAAATAATAAAATCAAATAATTAAAAACAAACAAAAAACTCATTTAAATAGCATCCAGAGGTCAGAATTCACTAAAAACTGCCTATCTGGTTCTTCATATTTACCTAATTTTGTATAATACTATTAGGGAAAATAAACCATAGAGGAAATATCTTATAGGCATATGTTAATTATTGAATCAGTAAACTTATTAATTCATCATCTTTTATGCAGAAAGCTGGACACAGTGGTCACTGGTTTTCACGGGGCTGTGGCAGAGGAGGAAGAGATAGGCATGACTCACAGATAAACAGCTCAAAATTGAGTAGGTGGTTATATGCTGTAGGGAGAGAGAGCATGGCAAACATGGAGAGGCAACAGAAATAAGGTAAGGAGAAGGTGAAAAAGTGTGAAAATTTAAACATGCAAAGATCAAAATTCCTACAGGACTTCTAAGTGGTAATATCTACTATTTGGTTAGTCGTAGGAAGGAAGGAGATGAGGAGTTATTAGTCATCAACCTAAAATAGGAAACTGAATCCATGGCTGAAGCAAGTGAGTGGCTACAGGGAATATATATAGTAAGTAATAGGCCCAAGGACAGAATTAACAGCTAAGCATCAAAGAAAAAGACTCAGGGTTTTGTCTTGTTAGTTTTATTTACAATCGAAGGATGAGAATTAAAATGACAAGAGAGGTATAACAGAAGCGTAGAAACAAACAAGAGATTTCTGGAAAAGAAAGTGATTTGATCAAAATACCTAGCTGTTCTCCATTTAAAATTTCAATATCTGAACAAAGAAATAAGAACAAAATCTTTTATCTACAGAGGCTCTTTGAAAGAAAAGCACCCATATATCTTACACTTAGAGGAATTTATTCAAGAAATAGCACAAATGAGATGAGAGAAAAGGGAAACAAAAATAGAAATCACCAAAGCATGAATTTTGATTAATGTTTCTGAGAAAGTATCATGTTGACATTATTACTGTCATCAATATTAATACTGTCATATACTATTTATCATGTGCCAGGTAATGTTATAATTTTTTATAAATATCTTAGTGTTTTAAATTTTCTTAGTCAAGCTATGACATAGCTACTATCGTCCATTTTATTTTTTTTATTCATGATAAAGCACATGCGTGCACACATGATAGCAAGAGAAATAAGAGGAGCAAATGCCAGGGGTTTGGTTATGCCATGATCTCCTCTCTCCAGTTCTCTAGTGTTAGATCTTGGGTGCTGGCATAAATGCCCAGCATGTTTGGGCTGACTGGGCCAAGAATTTAAGGTTTTTTTTTTTTGAGAGGTTTTTGCTATAGGGCACGTACATTCACTAGAAAGACAGACAGACAGAGAGACAGAAAGTGAGAAATCACTCCCCAGGGAGGATGGTCACGCTGCAATACCTTCTCCTCCATTCTCCTCTTGGAATCTTGGGCACACACTCACACGTGCCTGGCATGAGTTTAAGCCACTGGGTCCGGGACTTGAACTGTGGTTGGCTACATGGAGGTCCAGCAA